GAAAAGTAAGTCACCACTGGTCCTGCTTTTGCCTCCTGAAATGCCCATGTGTTGCCGGAAAGCAGCATCTGTCTAAACCCCCCTGCTTTTGACGACTATGACTTCTTTGATAAACTACCCGTGTGTGTGTGGAGGGACAGAAAGATGGAGGAAGCAAATGGGGAAATGAGTTTTCCCCTCTCCAGATTAATGTATATGAAGTATACATCTGACACTTCATCAGCACTCCCGGCTGGTGTCCCAGCAGGCGGACACTGGCTGAGCATGTATTCTGCCAGCAACCAGGCTACTTAGGATGAATTGGCAACATGTCATTTATCTGAAATGCCCCAAATGTCTGGGAGAGGGAGCACAGCTACATTTAGCATTGCCAAGGAAAACTAGATACTTTGGGCTAGGAATTAATCTCCTTTTTGAGAAGGTAGTTAGCATTACCTTCAAGCTTGCCTGTGGCATTTAAATCACTATAGGTCATGCATTTACTAAAATTCATACCGACCAAACCATGGGGCCTTCATTTATATCTTACTAACATATGAATACCTGCCAGCCATGGGGCCTTCATTTATATCTTATTAACATACGAATCCCTCTCAGGTCTCTACTTTTCTGAAATGTATGTTGTGCTGAACATGAAATTTGTTATATCAACTTGTAATGCCGTTATTTGGACATAAACCGCTTTGATCCCTATTTTTCCCGTTTTTACACACTTGAACACACACTTTGCTTTGACTCACTTTTTCAGTGAATCAACAAAATATTTAAGCCAATCTGTTACATGACTGCTTACAGGCAGATTAATAAAATCTCCTTGAATATGGACACTGTAATCTCTTCATAATTTTGTCAGCCTAGTTTTTGAACGGCTGATGTAGAACTAAATGGGATTTGGCCCATTACATGGACTTTAAGGCTAATCACAATTTTAAGATGCCGTGAACAACAAAACCAAAGAGGTTTTAGATGGATGATCTTATTAGGCCACCCATTACAGCAGAGAGAATCACACCATCACTCTCGCCTTGCAAGTAAAGGAATCTGTCACTTCCTAGGAATAATTATTTGTTCCATCGGCATATTTATTGAATGCCTCCTATACGCAAGGCTTTGTGCTAGGAGCAGTGAGGAGCAGAAAGCCAACCAGACAGGAATTCTGCCCTGAAGGAGCTTGCAGTCTAGCAGGGGGATATCAGGCATAAACACAAAGAATTAAAACAAAGGTGCACCATGATACAAGCCAAGGAGAGTCAGAAGGAGAAGGCTGGCTTACAGCTCTAAGATGGGGGGCTGGAGGTGAGAGCCGTGGCCAGGAGAGGGTCCAAGAGAATCATGTTCTATTGTACAGAGCACCTCCAAAAACATCAGCTTGTTTAGAAAATAAAGAAAGAAACAAGGAGGAGGAAGAAGAGAAAAGAGGCCAGTTAGAGAAAGACAAGTATCATATGATTTCACTTATAGGTGGAATCTAATGAACAAAATGAACTAACAAACAAAACAGAAACAGACTCATAGATATCAGAGGACTGAGAGCTGTCATAGGTGAGTGGGTTGGGGGCTGGATGAAAAAGGTGAAGGGATTCAGCAAAGGAAAAATAAAACTCATAGACACAGACATCAGTAGGGTGATTAGCAGAGGGAAAGGGGATAAGGGGATAGAAGAGGGTAAAGGGGAGATAAGTGGTGATGGAAGGAGACTTGACTTGGGCTGGTGAACCCATAATACAATATACAGATGATCTATTACAGAATTCTATACCTGAAACCTATATAATTTTATTAAAAAACTAAAAGCCCAATGCACGAAATTCGTGCAAGGGTAGGCCCTTGCAGCCCCAGCTGCTTCGGCCCTCGCAGCCCCGGCTTCATCCGGAAGGTCATCCGGAAGGTCATTCTGCTGTTCAGTCTAATTAGCATATTAGCTCTTTATTATATAGGATGTTACCCCCCCCCCGCCCCCCGCAAAAAGAAAAAGAAAGTAAATTCTAATAGGTGTATATTTCCACCTCTCAGCATCATTATCAAATCTGTTAGTTGTAATCAGCAGAGGCACTTTAAACATAATCCAATCCAAAAACATTAACCCTTTGAGTGCCACCCAATATCCTAGGAACTATGCTAAAATTGCCAAGGCATTTTTGCTGATTTTACAGCAGTTTAGGAAAAAAATTGTGAATCGCAAGTAAGTGAAGTTACATATTGAAAAACTTAAGGAAACCTTTACTACATTTGTTTTCATCTTTGACATATATTGTTTGCTGATTGTATTATAAAATACTAGTAGAAAAAAATTTGAACAAAACATATAATGTTAAAATAGAGGGACACCCTTCTCCAATATCTTCCACAAAATTGTCATCTTCACAGCAAGAATTGACATATTTAGCAATATCATCATCACTAATAAAAGCAGACTTATAACTGGACGCCATTTCGAAGCTCTAGGGCTACAAAATCTGAGTAAACTTCACAAAATCATAGTACCTGTAAAAAATTAGGAAGATAAATGCCAGTGGTCAATTTTAGAACTACAAACATTCGGCATTGTAAGTAATCTGCACTTAGGTGCCATCTGTCAATAAAGAGTGAACTACTAGCATCTAATAGTGACACTGCAGGAGGAGCGCGATAGCGCTCCCGGCACTTTTGGCGAAAGACAAGAGGAGCTCGATCGCGCTCCCTGGCACTCTAGGGGTTAACTAATAACACTTCTGCAAAGGGTACATACTGTGACACACTGATATAAATGATATGGCATAGAAACCTAGACCAATTCAAGCAGAATAACGAGGGAATCAGGAGGGTCTCAGCCCGGCAGCCCTCCTCCAGCTGCTGCTGCTCTCAGGTTGGGGGACAGAGACTTGGTCAAACAGCTCACAAATAGTTTTCCTTAAACTACAACTCAGAAATCATGAAACTTCTGAATGAGACATACTGTATATACCAGTATATATCTTACTTTTAACAGTGTTGCTTTAATCAGAATGATTTTCTTGGCAATAAACATACAAGATTAATATTTAAGTGTTAAGAATAATATTGCATTGACCCCAAAAAATACTTTTTTTAAAAAAAAATCACTAATTGTGAGAAATGTCCCTTAAAAAGTAAATACTCACAGTAAAATAAGCTTTTGATAAAATTCCCCCAGAAGAAAAAGTAACTTTGAACTTGGGGATGAGATGGAGGAAAATGTGATCATCACTTTAAGTGCACATTTAAAATAAGTCCCAAATTTTTCATAAAAGGAAGACAATGAACTTTGGCTGAAAGATCATAGTCAATTTTGAAATCATAATATATCCTGAAAGAAACTTTTTATGGATAATTATTCAATACCATTCAGAATCTTTATTATTTGAAAAGTAGATTCAGGAGTTCCAAAGTTGAATTCCAGAGACTGTTTATGCCTCTTTTCATCTTGCAGTTGCAGATGGAGATGATAAAGTCTGAGAAACGAAGTGACTTGCTCAAGTGTACACACTATCTAATGGCAAAATCAGGACCTAACTCACATCTCTCTGCATTATTGAATGATTCCCATTTATCCAAAATAACCTATTATCAATGCATCAAATTAAAAGGCATCATAATGCACTGACTTACATATTATTTGCATCATCATCAGTAAAATATGTTTAAAAATCTATTCCCATACCATACAACCCCTACCACCAATGCAAAAATAACTTGTAAACACTCCTAGGCCAAAGGTTAAAGTAGAAAAGTAATGAGCCCACTAGAACACAAAATTCTAGGAAGGATCATGGTTAAAAATAAAGGTGTACATTGAAAAAAAGAAAAGGAATGTAAGAGTCCAGGCTACCAAAAAATACGCAAATATATGTATCATGTGCCAACTGGTAAATGTGGAGAAAGTGCTAGAGTTGGAATAATGACCATTTTCAATTATCACAGAAAAGAAGGGGCCTGGCAAGAACCACCATGTTCTGGAAATCTAGGGGGAATTGTTGATGAGGAGAAACATGTTTGCATGGCCTGAAAGTATCTCCCCACAGAATGCTTATTGAATACAAGAGCAAAAGTCTAACTACAGTGGAGACATCTGGCAACACCTTGACTGGGGGGAAAAATTAACTTCACAATGAGGGACAGATAGACATATGTGTCTGCAGATGGCAGACCCCATGTGATATTCTAGATTGGGATGCAAAAACATAAATCTCACCATGAGGAAATATCAAACATATAAGCAACATGTAATATGCGAAATATTCCATTAAAACACATGGGTGGGAGTATATAGTCCTCAAAGATCTTGATGTCAAAGTGGTAAATAAAGGCTCTGGAAATAATTCCAGATTAAAGGGAACTAAATAGATATGACAATTAAATTCAATGCATGACTCTGGACTGGATCCTGTTCTGGGGGAGGGAAAATGTTATAGAGGACATTATTGAGCCAATTGATAAAACTGAAATGCAAATGGCAGAGTAGATAAAGGGCTTTTATCAGCCATAAATTTACTGAAGTTGATAACTGTGATAACAAAAGGCTATAGTATATACAAGCTACTCCCAAACAGTTTAAAAAAGTATGTGTGCATGTACACATATATGTATATGCCTGTGTCTATATAGAGGGAGAGAAAGCAAATGATAAAGCAAGTTGGGCAAGAGGTTCATAGTTGAATCTAGTAAAGGATCAGTTGGTGTTCTATTATTTTTCTTACTCTTGCCACTTCTCTGTTACTTTGAAATTGTTTTAAAGCTTAGAAACATCTTCCTTTCTTTTGAGGGAAGAGAGGAGACAGAGAAAAATTGAAAGAAATACTCCAAATTAAGTTGGGGGGTTGGGGGTTGGCGCTTGGAAAAATGAGCACACTGAAAGCAAGGAATTTCACATTGCCAAATCTGTGCTTAATGTTAAATGTAGGTTCAAATCTAGTTAAAGTCAATAAACTTAAAATAATCCCTAGTGAGGTGGCAAGACGGGTAAAACCCAACCCACCACAGACAGAGCCCAGAGACACACTTACCAGACTGGCCGTGAGCGAGGGAGCCGACTGGCCCAAGGCCTGGCTGCGCATGCGCACGAGGTTGGACGTCTCCGCAGATGCTGACCAGGTCTGTCCTGCGGTGGGGTTAGGAAGGAGGTACCTTCCTGTTGGGGTTAAAGAGAAGACAATGTAAGTGACAGGCAAAACAGTAACACCTCCATGGCAACGGTAGATCTCTTCTTGACCATCCTTCTATATAACGTTTGCCATTACATTTACCAAAAGCAACCGGAGGCAAATTGTTTTAATTAAGACAAGTTCTGACCCTGATTTCCCACATAAACCCAAGAGTACCTCTTCATCCCCAGCATCTGTAGCTTTCAGCCAAGGCAGAATGAAGTATCTTGTTACTGCTGCCTATTCCACCAAATGTGCCGAGGATGAATATAATACACAAAGCATTCCTAGCATCTTAGAAATAAACTTATGCAGTTATAACTGTACTTTTAAAATGTCTAATATGGAAAGTGATTGAGGATTCATCTGGAAAAGAGTTCTCAAAGTGGAGATCATGACCAACAAAAGGAAGAGTTGGAATTCTTTCAAAGTGAAATGGGGCTGGTGCTTCCCTCTCTGAGGCACTGGTTGGTCATTCAACCATGTCCACAGGACACATAATTGTATCCATTTGCATAAATCAGGACATCAATGTCAGTTGAGCTTCACTGAGCAACTCACATCAACCTTGAACTCTAATATATATGTATGCCTTTGAAAGTCAAACAGTTGAACCAATTCACACTGTATTAATTTCTTAGTACAGGGACAGGACCAGTTATCAATGCATAAGAAATAAGGCTTTTTGACTTCAGGAAGTTGGGATGAAGTTATGAGTATTCACATAGTAATGAAGCTCAGTAAAAGCAGAGGCCATGTTTGATTTTTATCTGCTTTGTCCCAATACTAGCACAATGACTGGCCGTAGTCAGTGCTCATTAAATATTTCTTGGATGATGAAAGAACAAGTGGGCACTTTTTTCCCATAAAACACATAGGGACAATAAGATGGCAGGCAGTCTGTGGTGTCTCATCCAAGGGCTGTGTCTGTGGGGACTCCAGCTTCATACCACTCAGAATCAGGAGGGACTGCAGCCACATGTGTGGCTGGTGGTCCTGGAGCAGAGGTGACGTTTGTTCCTTGGATTCTCCCCCAACAGATCTGTTCCTTGTAAAAGAGGCTCACTCCCTTACCTGTGGCATACACTTCACAAGCATGTCCCACTGGTTAATAAATATTGCAATATATTAGCTGGTTAGCTATTAGTATCCATTCTAACTACCAGCAATATCAAAGTATAGGAGCTAGGGGCAGCTCCTACAATTGTCCATGTAGAGGTCTAATCTATATATATAAAAGCCTAAGCGACCGTCACAACCGAAACAACCAAACAGACGACCAAACAGGCTGCATGGGGCGACCAGGCCAGCAGGGGGCTTAGTGAGGGACGACCAAACGACTGAGCAGCAGGCTGCGTGGGGTGACCAGGCCAGCAGGGGGGTTAGTGAGATATATGTTGTGTAAGATATGTTACATTTAAAGTCTAGATTTTTTTTCTTGCCTTATTTTGAAACGTGAACTAAAAGCTAGACTAATAGGGGCTTTGGGAAATCTGCCCCCTTTAGACATAAAAGTGGGACATTAATAAAGAACAGGAAAATTATAGACTGCATTTAGGAATGCTAACCATTATTACATACATAAATGGTTTCTTTAACACAGAATTAACTCTCACTGTTTGAAAAGCATCACATGTTAAAAATATACCAACCTCCAGTAATCAGAACCCATACGTTTTTGGTTTTTTTCCTTCTGGTCCTTCCTGTGTCTTTTCCTGTATTCTATGCTTTATATTTTCTTTGTACACGTTTCAGAGAGAGGCCTGATGGGAGGTATAGAAGCTACCTAAAATCAAAGCTTATATGATGGAGGGAGTCTAGCCTCATCACTGTTCTGGCTCAGATGCTTCATTTTAAAACCAAGGTAGATACAAGAACAGAATGTAACATCATCATAAAAAGTGTAAAGGCTAAATATTGTTAAGTCACTAAAAAATTCTGTAATTCAGTCCTTTTCTCTTTTACTAGAAAATAATTATTAGACTATCTCCTTATAATCCCCAAGATGAAGAAATATGTATTCATTTCTGTATTCCTAGTACCTGGCACAGTCCCTGGCACAGTGCCTGGCATATAGTAAGTGCTCAATAAACATTTGTTGACTGAAATGCACTTTAACGGGAAACATAAAACTAACCAGGTTATCTTCTTAAATTTAATTTGTAGTATAGCATAATAGTTAAAATATATTGAGACATTACTATATGCCAATACTGCCACATCTTAGCAACCCTATGGGGTACCAGGTAATATTATCTCCACTTTAAAGCACAGAGAGATTACATAATTAGACCAGGGCACACAGCTGATAAGTGAGCAAAACCTGGATTCTTACTTTGAAGCCCAAATCCTATCACAGGAAAATATTCATCACATATGCTAAGGTGAAAAACAAGGTATAAGAGAGGATGATTTTATATTTAAAAGAAAATAACATGCAGATGGGATTAAATGAGATAATGCACTTAAGGCACTCAGCCTGGGACATGGAAGGCAGCCAATATACTATTACTACTCACATGCTCATAAGAGCTTTACAACTCACCGATACACCCTCACCACCACAGCAACAAAATAAACCATGGCAACAGACTCCTTGGCCAGATCACAAAAGAACTGGAGAAAACTATTGAACAATATTGCAATAAAGAACAGTATTTCTTGCAAAACTGTTGTTCTCTCTGGCAGGGAAAATGGGGACTGGGTCCAGGGAGAAGTATACTATAATATTTCATTGTTTTAAAAATTATCTGCAGGGAATAAGAATTAAGTTTTCACTTGTGGTTTTAATAAATTTAATATTAAGTTTTTCTAATGTAGCTGAAGAATGTGGCAAATATTAAGCTTTGAAAGAGCTGGCTAGCAGGTATATGCAGTTGTATTAAATTATTCTCTACTAATTTCTTTATATGACATTATAAAGGGTGTCCCAAAAAATGTATACATACTTTGAATAGTTATTAACTCCAATGGGTTAAATCTGAAAAGAAAGAAATATCAATTGAGCTATCAAGGAAAAGTGTGTATACATTTTTGGGGATACCCTGTATAATACTGCTTTTAATGATTCCTATTAAAAAAATGCTCCAAAATCTAACATGGCAAACAAGCCAAGAGCATATTCCTCACACCCCTCATAATGGCAGTTCCTGAGGCCACATAAGGGAGGGGCGTGGGTGATGGTCGTGGAGAGCCACAGGGTCTGGGTGGGGTGAGGAAGCAAGAAGCAGGGGAGAAGTTCCAAGGAGAACGAGGACCCTCATTATGGTCCCAACCTGAAAGTCATGGCAGCTATGACTGGGTAAGGCTCCCTCTCTGCCAGTGGGAAAGCAGGACAGAAGCAGGCACAGTTTCTGAATATATCCTCAGTGCAAGAAATTCATCTGCTAGGATCCAAGCTCAATGAGCCCGGCATGTTCAGGTGGGAGGACCAAGCATGTCAAACTCTGGACCAAGCATGTCAAACTCAAAGGCTAACACGGGCCAAATAAACAAGGCATGAGGCCTGCAGGCTGCAAGTTTGACATGCTTGCTGTGGACAGACCTAGAAAAAGCACTAGGGGAGGGGACACCAGGAACCAGGGCCACTTTGTTCTCTCTCTAGACTCAAACCATACTTTGAACACTTCACTGTTGTTAGCTCTCACAGGGCAGTTTACAGCAAGCAGAGACCCTTGCTAACAGGACACACATGCCATCCTCTCCTCTGAAATCCCTCAGGCCAACACTACACATACATTTCATTTGCTGCTACCTCTTGCATGAGTCTAATCTTGGTAAAAAGACTATAGGTGTGCCTTGTCAAAGATAAGCAAAGCTGGACACTACTTAAAGTGGTAAGGACAGATTTTAATCAGTAAGAACTACTGCCACAGGAAAAAAGAGGCCAGTGTGAACTGAATTCACCTTCAATTTATACAGAAGTAACTGGGTGTTTTAACAGGAAAAGCAGGGAAGAGGGCAGGGAGCCAGTGGAGGCTCAGCTGAGTCAGGGAAGGGAAAATTTGCAAAGGGTTAGTCAGTGGAACTGCGATCGAGCCAGCTCTGCTTGCTAGCTGGCGATCATGGAAGTCAGGATTCCACCCTCCCACAAAGACAGGGAGACACAGATCCTACCTGGTGACCAGAACAAGCAGCAAATTTTTGGCAGCCTTGAGTTTTCTCAGGTAGGCACTTTAAGGGAGTTAGGGTCATCCTGAGGATGTAGCCTTGAGCTGTTAGAAACTACGTAAGTGTGTGTTCAAATCTTTAATGGTCAAGGTTAAGGCCTAGTGGAGAAAGAGGGCTTGGAGTCGCATGGCTAGAATTTGGTTGAGGAGAGACTTTATCAGCCTTTAAGTCTTTGTGACTTAACAGATCCTAACCCACAAGGAGACCTTTAGATGGTCAATAGTTGATCAATTTTAGAACAGAGTTTGAACTAAGTTTAATAGGACATAGAGGTCCTTGGCAGTTAACAGGAAAATTAATGTCTCTAAGTCGTGGTGGACTCTAGAGTCAGACTGCTGAGTGCCAATTCTGCCCCAACACAGACTCCATCACATATTCATAGACTTCTCCAAGCCCCAGGCTCCTCAGCTGTAAAATAGGGGTACATTTATGCAGTGGTTGTAAATCAAAACAGAAAGGATTTTTACACAAGGAACATTCAATAAATGTAAACTTTGAAATAAATAAGAAATACAAAGGGCTACCCAACACACAATGAATTATAAGGTGAGCAAGAAATAAAATGGTGTTAAGCCACTGGAAAAAACAATTCAATGAGGAAGCATGTGTACACATCTATAATGACATGTTTATAATGCCATCGCGGGCTAGATTTTAGATGTCATTATTCTTGTATGAGCCTTGTCCTTAGGAATCATATGAATGTTACAAATTGGAGGGTTGGTTAGCCTAACACATGGGATGTTTTATTCCTGCCTAGACCCCCATTAGTGTTATTAGGGAAGAAAGGACAACAGATGGATCTAAGGCAGTCATT